CAATGGAAAAGGTATCATGTGCTAATCTTCAAATCTTTTATCTTATACAAGATAGAAACTTTGTTTAATGAAAAAGATTGTACGCATATTTTTAAAACTATTATTAGTAATCTTAATGATTCTTTATGACTGTTATAGTGTGATAATTTTACAAAGATCGTTATGCTATAAATATGACCGTTGCTGTTATAGGTAAAAAGTTATTATACAGAGATAAAATATAACTTAAAAAATTAATTTTGAGGAAAATTTGACTTTTATAGTGAATGACTATTATATAGGGATGCTGTTATAGAGATGTCTGACCGTGCATGACTATACTGCCAGCCTCAACATGAATGCCAAAGAAAAATATTGTGTAACTTAGTATGTTATAATCAATAATATGTGTATTGTATAACTTATGATATATTTCAGTACAATTTTAATATTTCGGTATATATTTTTAAATACCAAATACTATACGTAATATTATTTTTTAAAAACTTAAACCAATATCATACCAAATACTAAAATTTTTGTTTACGGTACAATATCAGTATATATCAAATTATGTATACTCCTAAATCTAGCTTATTTTGATAACGACAAGGACATATTTGACCCTAACTATTAAATGAGTACAAATCCATTTCATTTTGCATAATGCAAAAACAAATTTGACAATTTTTCCAAAAACACAACCATGAGCACCTTACATCTTGTTTGGATGATTGTTATGTATCGTTTCATCATGTATTGTACTGTATGATTTTAATGTATACAATGTTTGGATAGATTGTATTGTTTGCCGTCGTTTTATGACTAACATATGAAGAACAAACTTGCAATATTATAAAAATTTGTAATTGTTTATCTACTTATATAATATTAACTATTAAGCAAATCTTTTCATATCCTTATTTGTAATTTGACACATAAAATCACTTTTTGAAAAGTTTGACCAAACACAAATTATTGTTCAAAAGTACTTTTCAAATTGATTAGTCAAACATAAATTCTACTTTTCTCCAAAAGTACTTAAAAGCATTTTTCAAAAATAAGCTAATTTTTTGAATTTGGCCAAACAGGCTATTAGTTATACCTGTTAATCGGGCCGAGCTGACCCGTTTACAACCCGGTTCAGCCCGGTACTGTAGCATGGGGGGCGGGCTGGGACGAGTTGGGCGGGGAGCGAGTTTCAAACGAACAGTTTTTTGATACCGGTGCACCGGAACCTGCTAAGCCCGTTAACCCGTTAACGGGCTACAGCCCGGTTCAGCCCGATTTTTAACTTTTTTTTTTTTGACTGTTGCCAACGGTCAAATTTAAATATGACAGTTGGCCAACGGCCTTTTTTTGCAGAAATGGTCATTTTCGCCTACCCTCTTAAGTAAATAGCCCCCACACCCCTAGTATTTGATAAATTATAATTTTAACCTTTTAAAAACTATAAATAGCCCCCCCTTCTTCTTTATTTTTTCCTCACAATTCACTCTCTTACTACTCTAATTCTCTCTTGATATTATTGATTATTGTTCTTAAATTCTCAATTACTTATTATTTCAAGTTTCATCAAATATTTAGTTTATTCATTACAAAATTATTATTATTATCAAATATCAAGTATTCAAGTGAAGTGTGGTGTCAACTATCAAGTATCGATCTATCAATTGAAGTTTGGTTTTTGATATCAAATTTAGTGCGGCATCCGGAATCCCGGTACACTCGTTCTATATCTTTCTCTTCTTTGGTATATATTTATTTTATTATTTACAATCATTAATTTAATTTACATAATGGATATATTTAGAGCAGCCAAAAAAGCATGCACTAGTAGAAGTGGTAGTAAGAAAACTTTCAAAAGATCAAGAGGTGGTGCTTGTTCTTCTAGTAGCTTTACACATATTTCTGAAAGTTCACGTAAAAATTTAAATGTAGATTATGAGAGACTTCAAGAAAATTATGGTATAGATGATGATTTAGATGATAATTTAGATGATATTCCATTTTCATCACCTGATAATCTTGAAACACCACCAGCTACACCTGGTAGTACTAGTCAAACTCAAAATATTAGGGGTGGAAGTCGTGGTAATACAAGTAGGTCTCCCCTCCCTATTAAGAAGAATCTAAGATTAAGAAGCAAGTGTTGACATTTTTTTGACAGACTAGAAGAAGATAAAAATTATGTAAGATGTAGAATTTAAAAGGATATTTATAAACATGAGACCGGTAAGGGAGGGGGAACGGGTTAACTTCGCAGGCACATGGTAGACAACCACCCTCTTGATTGGGGGGTAGATGAGGAAGATGGGCAACAAAAACTTAACCCGGATACTGGAGGGTTAGTGGGTAAATACGATATTAAGAAAGATCGGGAAGAATTAGCTAAAATAATTATTTTAGGTTGTTTACCTTTTAGTTTTGTTGCTTAACCATATCTTGTTACTTATATTCAAAGAATTTATAAACCTTTGTTTAAAGGTATTCCTAGAAGTACTTGTAGAGCTGATATCTTTAGGCTTTTTGGACAATATCAGACATATATACGTTATTTGTTCGCCAGTCTTTCTTGTAGAATTTCTCTTACTTTTGATATTGGTCGTGCTGTAAATGGTAATGATTATTTGACTGTTACATGCCATTGGATAGATGGTAATTTTTGTATGAAAAAACGTATTATTGCTTTTAAATATGATGAAGATCAAAGTCATACTGGTACATTTATAAGTAAAACTATCCATGAAGTTGCTATATTTTATAATCTTGTAGAAAAAGTTTTTTGTGTATCATTTGATAATGCTTTTAACAACAATGCTGCTATTACAATATTAAAATTGCATCTACACCCACCACTTCCTGAAATATTTCATGTTAGATGTGCATGTCATATTTATAATTTGATTGTGAAGAGTGACCTTGAATTATTTAGAGATGATATCACTTTAGTTAGAAGAGTTGTTGGTGTAATTCAAGGAAATAATAGAAGTGCTAGATTAAATGCATTTAAAGAAAAATATCTATACTATGAACTAAAACCAAGACTCATGCCTGAAGAAATAGTTACTAAGTGGAATTATACTTATTTATTTTTAAAATGTTGTTATAAATATAGAATGCCTATAACTGAAGTTGCTAATTCTCATTGTACCGATCNTAAGAAAATAGCCCCCACACCCCTAGTATTTGATAAATAACAATTTTAACCTTTTAAAAACTATAAATAGCCCCCCTTCTTCTTCATTTTTCCTCACAATTCACTCTCTTACTACTCTAATTCTCTCTTGATATTATT